AGTAAGGATTTCTAACAGTTTTTCTGAGTTCAGTAAGAAAAAATCATTTCATGAAAATTAAGATGTCAGAAATTACAATCCTCAATGACCAGATAAACATGAGAGAAGGTGCACTTCTCTGGAATATTTCAGAGTTTTTATTTTATGGAATAACAGAGGTTACCTACGTCAAGCCCTGAGTTTTTATATGATATATTTCCCATAAGTTTTATAGAGATTGAAATCCACATTTGTCTACATAATCTGACTTTTATAAAGCTGAGAAGTTCTTTGGAGAATGAGGAAAGTCGAGTCAAACTCACTCGTAATTAACACTAGTGCTTTGAATTCCAAAAGGTAGACTTGCCCCCTTATTTGTCAGATATTTAATTCACTGAAAATTAGTTGAAAATCAAGGCAAAAGACACTCTTTATGCCTTGAGTTATAGTCTGTGCCTCAGACTGAAAAGAAATAATCATAATTCATCTGAAACCACAGTTTCCATGAAGTAGCCAGAATTAGTCATAAATCAGACCAACTTCATGAACCTTAACAGATGAATAACTGTGACCAAGCTTTGAATATTAAGCCTTGAATCAAGAAAATGTCATATGGTCTTCAGGCCAGGGATATTTCATATAGATGTACTATTATCATTTGCTTTTAGTTTTATTATATCAGGATTGACTCTATCATGCAATATTCTTCCTTCAATATAATTTATTTTCTAGAAATAAACCTAGACTTATATTTAATATAAGCTGTTGTAATTAGGGATTTCATGTCAAATGTAGTGAAACCTTGGAGAAAATTCAGCAAATGCAATCCTAGCTCTGATGAATTAACTGGAAGAATTTATTTGATTTTTGAGTGATTGAGATTTCATCCCAAGTTTTAGGAAGAGATACACCAAGACCAAATGTCTAGAAGTGGCAGCACTGAAACTTGATTCACAATATAAAAATAAATATTACTTGAAATATTTTAATGAATCTGTGTCCATATAACTTCAAATGTTGTGGTACTGGAACTATGCATCCATCTTTTCATAACAATAAGGTATCAGGAAGGATATTAATAATTTCATAGAAACATAAATTTGCACTTCAGTAAATAATAATAATAAGATAAATCTAGGCTTTGAAGTTCTGCATACTTTGATAGTTACATAATTCTACCCCTCTCACTGAGATGACACGTGAAAAATTGCCCAGGCAAGTGAGTTCTGTAATAAAGAACCTGGAGAATTTCCAACAACAGAAGAAACTAGTGAAAAGCATAGAGAATAGGTCCACCCTCTCCAGCCATGGTGATTTTTCTTTGAATTGTAGTGCCAGGCCATTTTTAATGTAGAAATGTAGCACAGCAGAGAGATAACTTTTACCAGGCTACTCATGAGTGGTTTTCTCCTTTGTTTTTCATTATACTACATCTTTATCCCAAACTCTGTAACAGGTGACACCTCATACACCATCTCATTTATCACCTTTGCTTTCTCCAGAGTTTAACCTGGAAGCAGTCACCTGTGTGGGGGCAGCTATTGAAATGGAAGACAAGAAAACCTGTATAAAAATTGTGGGTAGGGGTAAGGACCTGCAAAGGAAGACAGTTTATGCTGAAAAGTGATCAATGCATAAATGGAATTTGCAAGATTTGTTAAGACTTAGTTCTCATTATTTCTGTATTCCTTAATAAATTAATTAATAATCTTAGAAAATAAGAAAATGTATAATTTGGTGTTGATTTGTAGCTTGTTAATAGCACACACAAAATACTGGAGCCAATAAATGGCACTGTATTATACAAGATTATGCACCGGAGCCAGATAAAAACTTTTGGTATAATCCAGTAATTTGAGAGTCAAAAGTTGTACAGCATGAGAAAGCTTTTGGTTTTTCCTGTGCTCAACACCAAGTCTATCTACATAGGAAGTCAAGAAAGAAAGTGAAGCAAAGCCCACCTTTATCAGGACTTAAATGGAGGTGATATTGTGGGCCTTACTAATAATAGTTTACTGGAATGTCATGTATAAAGCTCTGTCCATCTGTCAGAGTTGAAAAATTACTAATTCAAATTGTAATAGGTCATAGGCATCATCAGGGAAATCCAGAATTTGATTATGGAAAGAGATTGAAAGAGAATCTGTTTCAACTGAAGAACAACATGAGTGTTGTATACAAATACAGCAATAGGTGAGCAAAAAAAGAATAATACTTAGAATGTTCTGGGGAGAGAAACAAATGGGACAATTTCTAATCAGGGAAGCCAGTGCATGGTCAGGCACTGCCTTCACTAGGAAGAGTGAAATGAACTGATTTTAAGATGAAGCACTGGATTACAGAAGATGTTAGGTAATGTCTGCTAAAAAGCAGTTTTAGATTGGTGATTCAGAAGTTTTAATCAAGTTCCATTTTTTTATGTTTTTAGATGAGTACATCAATTTTTGCAGGAAACATTTGAGTCTGATAAAATCCTTAAAAAAAAAAAAAAAAGTAGGTACAACAATTCAATCTGCTATTATGTACTTATCTTGGAATACCAGTACCAAGTGCAATGAAATAATATGGTGGATATAGTCTGTGTTACCCTATCTTTACTTATTTTTAAAAGTTCAAAATCAGCTTTATTTGTATTCTTTTCCTACAGGATGGATGCCTTCCAATATATACAGGAACCTTCAGAATTCACAGATGAAAATGGGAAAATCTGGAAAAAGAGGACAATTAAGATTTTTCTCTGTAGAAGACATGTATGTATTATTTTTAGAAGATAATTCAACTGTAATTCTTATGTGCTATTGTGCTGTGTAGTCTAAGTGCACCACTCCAGTATTGAACCTAGAGATTTTTACTCCTGCTATAAGTGCAAACCACAACACAGCCTTAACTGTGGAATTAATTGCTCTTTTGTGTATGAGCAAAAAAAGTCTACAGCATAACACAAAAGGAAAAGTAACGTGTCATGTAAATGATTTTTTCCCACAAAACTGCTCTACTTCTTCATTTATTTTCTTCTTCTTCCTTACACAGCTTTAAGCCTCTTTGCCTATGATTACCTGTTTCAGGGCTTGTGACAATTTGGGGAATCTCTCTAGGTAAAGCTTATGAACTCTGTCTGGTACTTGGAAATCTCTATACATAGCTGTGTCAGCTTGAAGATTCTTTGCTAATCTGAAATCCACAAGAGGTGATTTTTGCTCCTGGCACATGATCGATAAGGAATTGTTAAACCATGATAATATCCTATTCAAATACATTCCCTTGGAGTATGACAATAGGTAGGCAAACCTGGTTTTATAGATGAAGTGAGGCAGTGATGAGTGATAAATCATCTGTTCTATGTAAATTTCATCACCTGACTAGGGATCTACCTGACTAAGAAGGTAAGGTGACATCTTGCTTGGTGTTGTAAGGTACATCTTGTATTAGATATTGGAGGGGGACAGTGGACCTAGACGACTTCTACCTATGTTTGGAGTGGAAAATGAAGGCAGAGAAATGCAAAGGGTTTTCTGCATTTAACAGCTGTTATGAAACATTTAAAATCACGGTGGTCTTGTGCTCCTTCTGTGAAGAAGCTCAAAGTCCAGCGCGCAGCTAGTTTACCAAACAGTGTTTGAAGAAATCAGCGCTGCCCTCAGAAGACAGGGCAGCGAAGCTCTGTGCCGGAGCACTGGGAAGGAGCCGGGCTTGCTGCCTCAGCGGACCAAGGCAAGCTCACATGGACGGACACCAGTGATGTGTTGCGCGGAAAAACCTGGCTCCAGCAACTGGCGCGTGGCCGAGCAGTTGTTTTCACCGAGGCTGAGGAGGGGTTTTTGGACACATTTGTGCAAGTGAGCTTAGTCCTGCTACCGTGATCACGGCCGCACCGATGCCCGGGATGCTCGTACTGCCCGGCTGGCCGCTCCGCGCCGGCAGCTCGGGGCTCCGGGGCGCTGCACCACCGCCAAGGCACCCGGCGGGCCGCTGGCAGCCAGGAGACAAGGAGGGGCTGCAGCTCCCGTGGAGCTGAGGATGCTCCCGCGTCCAGCTCAGCGGCGACTGCAGGGCGCTCCGCGGCGCGGAGCCTTCCCAACTTCCCACGGTCACCTCGCTCATCCCCGCCCGGCCGGGAGCGGGGCTGCCGCCCGGTGACCTGTCCGGGGGAACCCCGCCCTTCCTCAGGGCACGGGCACCCGCGGAAAGCCGGGCGCGGCATCCATCCCTCCCTCCGCGCCGGCGGAGCCCTGAGCCAGGGGCCGAACTCCGGGAGAAGGGACCGTCCCGTGCGCCCTGCCTCTCCCCAGCCCCCGCGCCTGCCTCCTCCCCTGGTCACTGGGACTGATGAATTAATCATGATGTGGCTGCTGTTAATGCATTTATGTGGAGCGGGCTGTGCCAGTGGCTCGCGGCGCGGCGGGTGAGGGAGCGCGGGGAGCGCCGGCCCCTCCGCTCCGCTCCGCGCAGGGCGAGCCGCGGCCGCGGCGCTCTCCATGGCTCCGGAGGAGGTAATGGCATCGGGACGCGCTCCCCGTCCCCCGGCAGCCAGGGAAGGGGCAGGGCAGGCGGGGCGCGGGCAGGGCAGCTCCAACTTGCCGGCAGGGGGACGGGAAGGCTGGGGTTGCCGCGGGAGGTGTGCGGGGTGTGTTCGCTTCGCGTCCCCGAGGTTCCTCCGAATCCTGCCCGTGGTTTAAAAATCGCTCTCTTGGCATAAGTGCGCGGGAGCCAGGCTCACTTTATCGCCGCTGACGCTGTCGAAATCGCTGTGGCTCCAGCAGTAACAACAACGAGCCCCCTCCCCGCATCCCTCCCTCCTTCCCTCCCTCCGCCGGGTCACCCGCTCCTCGTGAGAAACCAAACGCTGCTATTCCATTAGCTTCATCTTCCCCGCTTACGCGAAAGTGAGGAAGACTTGCTAATTAATTTACATACGAGGGAATGATGTCTGAAGGAAGGAAAAAATACCCCGTTGCACCTGCTCCGCCGAGACTTGTCATCTGAATCTGGAGGAGAGCTATAAATCATGTAAAGTGTTCGCGGTGGAGTCGGCTTCTTCTGAGAGCTGTAGGATTATGTATCCAAATGCTGAATTTATATTTCCCACTAGGAAAAGACTGAAACTCAGGTCAGATATAAACTACATCATTTCATTTAAAACAAAACTGTAGTTATTTATTGTAATTCTAGAGGGGATTTTTTTTTTCTCTCCTGATTAAATAGGAAGTACTATTAGAGCGTGTAGTAATGATTAACACATTACAGCCTGAAATCTCTTGCAGAATTGGAAGTGGTGGAGTGTAAGGACGGTGCTTTAGAACCACATATGTCCTCTTATTTTTGCCACACGTGAAAAGCCTGAGAATGACCAGGCTGGTTTACCTTGTTTTTAGTGTGTACAAACCCATATTTTCTGAGATACAGGATGGGGAAAACTTGGACAAGGGATAGCACAACTTCCATTGAAAACGTTGACTTTCTCAACTACAGCAACTAAAATCTGTGTGATGTCTTCTTTGATTATTTCCACCTTTTGAAAAACTTTTAAAATGTCATATGCTACTTCCAAGAATTTCACTTACTGCCTCTAAGGCAATACAGTAATTGTTTTTGACGCTTGCCTGCTAAGTGAGATGAACTGGGGAGACCTACTGTTCAGTAAGATGTTTGTGCTATTCATGTGCCAGGTATTTCATCATAAAATACAAAATGACAGCTTTAGTCTGATGAGGTAATGGTTTCATATTGTAGAAATTATTCATACTTAATTCTGTGGCTTTTCATATATTTCATTAGGTTTGTTGCTGGCAAAACTAGACAGGTTTTGTCATTTCAAAATGAACTGATTTCGATTGGGGTTAATTGCTTTAGTAGCCTAGTGTATTTTTGACAAAACTGAAAATGGCAAATATTACTAATTTTTTTTGTTCCACTTATGTAAAAATACTGCTTTTTGATTAAAAAGATGTTATGTGATGGACCCTGTGCATTGCTTCACAATGAGGAAATTAAGGAATTTGTGTGCTTTGACAGAATGTGAGATTTGCAAGTTTCATAAGTTGTGAGCTTATTGTAAAAGTGTGTGTATGTGTGTGGCAAAAGACTGCTATGCTAGTAGAAGAAACTAACAATAACACAGAAATCTGTGAGGTAAGCAAGAACATATGAGCCAGGCTAACCACTCAATATGCTTACTTTGAAAGCAAGCCTGGATGCAGTAGTTTTCATATCACTGTTCTACAGCAACAAAATAAGGGAGACAAAAATAAGCACGAGCCAGAAATAAAAATACAAAAATCTAAAAGGAGACTAGTCAGGTGAGGAAAAACATTTGGAAATCAAGACCTTCTGTCAGATCCAAGACTGCAGGTCATTGTTAAATGAAATCATACTCACATACACAGCATTTTTATGGCATTTAAGGTGGAAGCCTTGGTCTTGACTATAACCAACAAATTACAAGAGATTCAGTTGTTGAGAATTTGGTTTGTCACCAAATAAGAGGTGGTAGAGGTCAAATGACAGTCAAGAAAAATGGAGTTCATCTTTGAACAGGAGAATAATTTGTTTTCTTTTCCAAATCTTGTCTCTAACTGGAAATTCTGTCATGGGCACCCATCCACAAAGTGGTCAAAATTTATTAATTAGTGAACATTTATTGTTCTGAGATACCGTTATAATAGAAATACTTTTTTTCTGTGTAACTGGCATTCTTCTAGCCAGTGCTTTGACTTTGCAAGTCATAAATGAAATATGGGACTTCTGATTTGGGGTTTGAACAATATATGTAACTGCCTAGATTTCAGTCCAGTGTACGTTTTTTGTTTGGCTGTCAAGTGTTGGATTCACTTATATTGGAAAAACATTTGCTTCATTTCTAAAACAAAATGGATAAAATCATTTGTCAGCTAGAGTGAGGTGGGGAAATGCATTCATCCACACCAGATTTTATTGGCCTTACAATAATGACTTGTGTTTCTACAAGGGATTGTGGGGTTGGTGAATGACAGAGCTGCCTACATTTTCAACATTTGCAACAGGTTGAGCATGCTTTTTGGGTCAGGAAAGCTTGTGCTTCTTGTTTGTTGTACAGTGCTGCTTGTTTATTGATGGACACATCTTTGAAAGGAGCTGAATGGAGAGGAGCTGGTTGTCTGCAACATTGCTCAATGTTCACTTGCTGCTATACAAATGATTATGTGACAACTGGCCAGTAGCTGTAGGCGTGTGAATATGCCCTCTCTATTTTCTGTAGCTGTTTTGCTTTACCCACTGCCATGGAAAACTTCTGAAAGGGTTGTTCAATGATTAGCATGTTAAAATGGGATAATTGTATGTCTTAACAGACAGGTTAAATTACATGATTCTGAACAGTAGCAGAGTTTGAGGTGTATTTGCTTGGAGTACAATCAAATTCCCTCTTTGACTGTTTATATAGTAAGCAGGAATCCATTAAACTGGCCAGGAGGACAAATATTTAATGGAGACTCAAAGAGGCAATATAATTTCTGTATGTTTGCAGTGCACTGCTCTGTTTAGGTCCTGATTAAATCTTCTGATCTCAAGGAGGTATTCTAGTCATCTGCTTTGATGCAATATTCCACAAAACCATTTTAAGCTAGAGGGGTTGGAGTTTAAGACTTAAGATTATTTTCTCTTAAGGATAAAAATTGCATGATGTACTCTCACAGCCCTAGTTGAACTTTAGTGGGAATAGTGTGAGCAAGAAGTCTGGGAAGCAGGGGAGCAGAACCAGAAGTAGTATCACAGTAGTAATTCAGGCTGAAGAAAAGACCTTTCTGAGTTAAATAACAATCTTAGCTAACTTCAGTTACAAAGTCATCACAGTCTACCTTTAAGTACATTGCCCTGTTGCTCTTTCTGGATATTTCAAAACCTCTCTCTTAATGCTTAGAGTTTTCTTTGAACTTTCAACCTAAATATGTTCTTAGATTCCTAATTTTTAATCTCTCTGTATTGTTATTTTAAACCAACTTCTTCTTTGGTGTGTAGCCCTCAATAAATTATAAACATCGATCATGTGTCTTCCTCAGCTTTTATGTGCTAGGATCAAACAAGCAGAGCAAGCACTTTTTAGTCTGTGGGGCAAAACAGAATAAATAGGAAGATACAGAGGCTAGTAACTTGGTTCTCCTGAACCTTGTACCTGAAGTGTTTGCTCAAAGTCTTGAATAAGACTGCTAATGCTCCACTCAGTCTTTTGAGAATACTTTGTCAGACACTGGTGAATATCAGGTTTGTTTTACAGATAGGCCAGGTTGGTTTAATCTGTTAATAGTAAACATGGGTGTGTGATTTATCTTTTTGTGTTGCTCTCAAATGATAAGAGACCATCACAGAAATAATCACAGAAAGAAATTCTGCTGTTCATAATGATGTTGCTTTGAAGAGTAGCTAAATGTTTTCCTATTTCTAATCCTGCGCAAATGCTCCTCCAATTTCTTCTGTAGGATAGCAAGAACCTCCTCTGTATCAAGAGGGCTTCCTGTAACCAGTTTTTATCAAAACACCTCTGCTTTTCACCATGTTTACAGACATACAGTACGATGAATGTGAAGAACGATTTAAAAGAAGTCCATTCAATATGTTACCATTAGTCATCAATAGTTATCATTAGTTATCATTCAATAGTTACCATTTATATCAACTTCATTGTTGTGTTATGCTTGCATTTCCAACTCAGTAAATCATTGCTGATTATCATCATTGGGTGATACCATATCAAACTCCTTACTGAAATCTCAGGAGAGTGGATTTTGAATGTTCTTTCTCATAATATTTGCTTTGAAAAGGATTGGCTTCTCCCTCCCACCCAGCATTTATAAATACTGATTAAGATCCCTTCTGAGCCTTCTCCAGGATAAAGCAACTCAGCTTTCCCTGCCTTTCTTCAAATGACAGATGCTCCAAGACCCACATCTTCTCTGTGTCCTAGATGTGCATACTGGATGTACACCAGTATGTCCATGTCTGTTCTGTACTGGGGAGCCCAGAACAGGAGGCAATATTCCAGATGTGACCTCACTGGTGCTGAGGGGAAGGATCATCTCTCTCAGCCTGCGGGCACTGTTTTTCCTAACACAGAAGGTGTTGACTTTCATTGCTACATGGGCACTTTGCTGACTCATGTTCAACTTGCCCACCAGGACATTCCCCATCCTTTAGTGTCCAGTTCTTTCCCCCGGTTGGTCCTAAGACTTTTACCAGTCCACAAAGTTATTTCTCTCTGGGTGAAGAATGTGTATTTCCTTTTGCTGAACTTTATTTCTCCAGCCTGCTGAGGTCCCACTTAACAGCAGCACAGCTGCTCCTTATTTCACCCACTCTCCAACTTGCTGAGGGTGTCCTCTGTCCCATTATTCTGGTCTTTAAGGGAAATGGCCCCAATATCAACAGGGGTGCACAATTTGTAATGTTCGCAGCTGAATTTTGTGGCACTGATCACAATCCTTTGAGCCCAGCCATTCCCCTACTTTCCATTTCACCTCACTTTCATGCTTCATTAATAATGTAATTGTTAGTAATAATAGTTAGTAGCATCAGTAATAATTTTACTACTGCTGTGTGACCAGGAAAATTAACAGATAGAAATATCTCTTCACCAACTTTCCTTGCTCTGGTTTAATAGCACTGGCACGTGTGTGTACACACGTGCACCAAGTGACAGTTGCCTGTTTGTCTGTGTTTGAGTGTATGACTTGTGAATTACTCACACCATATGTTTGACACAGGGAAGATGCTATTTTACATGTCATACAGGCGCTGCATTTTTTTTTTTTTGCATTAGATATATTTTCCCACCTCATTTTTTATAGGTCAAAGGAACCTCTGGGCTTGTTATCTTTATGGGGAATTTGAAATATGTAATCTTGAAATTGATTGCAAAATACAGGTGAATTAATTGCTCTATAGCTGATGTTTTTGAAGCCAAATGGCTTTTCATTCCGGTGAAGAAATTGTGTACCTTATGTTAAAAAATGCAAGGGCTTTTTTTATGTTTCCTTCAAATAGCAAAAAAATGTTTTGAGAAAAATTGCTTCGATATTCCATATTTTCTCTCGCTATTCACACTCACCTGCTTTGCCAGCAGCAGTGAGAAAAGGCACT